CATTTATTTCATGATTGGATTCATCCAACTTCTCTGCCGTGGTCCATAGTTTTTTGCTTCCGAGAGTTTAATTTGAAGTGCTTATAGCTCTTACTACCCTAATCTAAATTCCCATGCTCTCACGCACGTACAAGATCCCCTACATGTATATTTCACTGAACCTTTTGTGATGGGTTGCAATGGTATAAATTGACTATTCCTATTAAATGCAGCATGTTCTATAGTTAGTTGCTTCTCTTTTATAAGACTATATTTTGTTTCTTATTTACTTATTCTTTATAAAACTCGTGGTTATGCCTAAGCAGTAGTTACTTTATGATTTTTTTTTTGGCATCAAAATTATATATGCATGATAGCTGTTAAAGTTGCAGGGTTCAAGAAGAGAGAGCTCCTTGATTATGGACCACCAAAGATCGGTTATTATTTTACCAAAACATATTATAAGAGTATGTATAACACTTATGAGGAATGATGCTCTGAATGTTTTGAAAAAAAAGATCTTAGATGATAGAAGCGTAAAATAAAATAAAAAAAAAACCTTCAATCTTACTTACAAAGAGACTTTTTATAATTTTATATCCTAAGCATATATACCAATTGTGTTGTCCGTGACAAAACCATCTATATTTTGTTCGTGACAAAATCATATATATGAATTTTAAATAATCATTATATAGTGATTGAACATTTTATACTATACGAGAATGATTAAACATTTTATAGTATATGAGAAGTACTAATTCATACCGCATGGGTAATGTGCTAGTGATATGAAATATAAAGTACTATAAGTAAGACAAAAAGTAACGAAACAATGGTATAAATCAATTCCTACTTATATTAATAATTAAGTGATGTATTGTACATAGATATGGCGGATACAAATCTTCATAAAAAGAGTGCTAAAAATATATAATATCATCGTTGTATAATGGGTGGATTTACCTTTATTTTTCTCATTTTTTAAAAAAAAATTATGAAGATATGAGGAAGGTTAGGATATTTGGCTTGAGGTAGTTTCTTTTCAATTTATGTTTTAGTATTTGATCCTTTCAAGCAAGTATTACATTTTATTAAAAATCCTTTTGCTCAATATAAATTTCAACTGGTGGTTTTGTATAATTTTCCATGGAACATGATGGATATTAGTGATAAATAATTAGGAAGATTTCAATGCTTTAACATTTATATATGACAATTCATGATTTTTTCAAATTCGAATTCGGCAAGGCATGCATATGATTATCATCGTAACAAACAATATACAGATTACTTTTTCCTGCCATTAGCAAAATTGTTTCCGCCAAAAATAAACAGATATAAATGTTTTTAAATTGTATTTAATTAACTGTCAATTTTACATCATGCATGTCCTGGTATTTACGCTTTGTGGGTGTGTACATGATATCACCGGTCTCTCCCATGATTTTCTAGAGGACATATACTATTTTGCTTCTTGGAAACTTCCAATTTTATTTTTCTGTGCATGGTTGTGATTCTCATAATCTACATCATTCCAACATTGTTGACAGTTTGAGGAGCCCTGAATCCTCTTCGATTCCATTCTAAGCTATTTTTGATTGTCATTACACGAAACAATATGCATAATTTTGATGCTGTCCATGATGACCCCAATATCCTCAGTAGTTCCAACAAGCAAAAAGAATTCCTGCTGGGACCCTCCATGGAATTAACTTAAATGAAGGTTCATTTATTAGTTCATTTGGTTTCAATTTGGTAGTATGCTTTTTTCAGCCTATTTAATGTATTTGCTGTAGTACTTTACTATTGATTTCATACTGTCAACCTTCACCAGGCAGCATTTGTGAATACCTTTACACCCATTTGGCTACCTTAAGTTTTCTTGAGAATTCACGCATTTTATTTTTTATATACATATGTAGTCCTAATTTTCTCAAATAATTAAGGTGTCACTGTTATATACAATATATTACAGGTGATCCTTAGTTTAGTTAATAACGTTTGATGCTTTTCCACCTTCACCTTCATGTATACTTAACTTTGTTAGGAGATTCTTGTGCTTTAGCGCGGGCTCGTCGACTTCATATACTCAGAAGGAAAAGAGAGAGACGTTCTGACTTTAACAATGACGCATATAAATTGGACAAGGGTAACACTACTATACATTCATTATAAACTTCCATTCCTATATAATCTAATACAAAGTTTTTACAGAAAATTCAAATACATGCCTGGAATCTCCACGTCTCAAGAAAGCAAGAATCATTCCTTCTCGAGCTACAATGACCACAATCACTAACCGTACGTGTTTGAAACTGAATTGTTTATTAATACTTTAATGTGCGCATTATGCTGATGATAACTATTGTATTAGATAAAGTTCTCCATGATTAAATGTTGCCTCACTCTCATATGTTACAAATGTTATTGAGTTATTCACTTTGTTTTTCTAGCTTGAGAACTATTATGTAAAGCCAATATCTTGATAATTAGTATATTACAATTTATATAGGCCTTATTCCCAACAAGAAATAATGACACGTAATATTTTATTTTGATTGTGAGTTATTGGAAGTAGTATTAGTTATAAGACTAATAATATTGGAATTTTTTTTTTTGGGTTATCCGCACCTTCTGGCCAAACAGTTGTGTCTAGCATCTTTTCATTAAAAAAATCATAGTTGGTTAGATTGTTTTATTTTGTTAAGATAACATGAATTTCTATTATTTATACTACACCACATTATTTTATTTTTAAATAAAATTCAATTCAACACACATTATTTAATTATTTCAAACTGTGCAAATTTTAATTTCAATTTATTTAGAATATGTATGACAAAATATCAAGTTTCCAAAGGGATGGCATATGAAAACTTATAATAATTCATTTGATGATTACACGAATCAAATTTAACTTTAGCGTTCACCTATTCAACATGAATGTAAGCGTTTAATTGTAAAATACTTATATCGAATATTTGCATTTTGAACGTAGATTATCTTAGCTGTGATATTGATGATTGAATTCCAATAATAGTTCATTTCCCATTGCCTCCTATATTGAAGTGGATAATTTCACAAGTAATAGTATTTCGGTAGTGTATATTATAAATGTTATTGAGTTATTCACTTTTGTTTATATATGGCGTTGCATCACTTCTATTACCTAACGGTAAACAGCTCACTCATAATTTGCGATCCCTGTTGCCATATATATCAATCATATATTTCAGTAGTGTGTAACTTTCTCACATCTACTACTTCTTTGTCTGCTTTTGCCCAACTCAATCATAATATCAATGGCAAATCTTTCTGGTACTCCCCACACATGGTCAATAGACAACATTAATCCCGCTGCATCAAGATTAGAACGGCTTCATATCCGTCGTAGGAAAAGTTCCCACCTCCATCAACATTCATATAAAGAAAATACATGCCAAAACTGTGCCATTTGGAGGCTCAGCTGGTAACAATCAAGGTACTATATACACCAAATATATGTCATTTTTTTCAATTTACCTAAATTAAATATTTTAGGTGTAGAATTTTTCCTATGTAATTTATATGACAATGCATTGCTACTACCTGTAGAGTTACCAACTTATGAAGATCTTGGTGACCACATTTACATTTGTCCTGATTGTGGTGCAAAAATGTGGTATGATGAACGACTTAGAAAATACCGAAATGAGAATCCACCAAGATTTGGCATGTGTTGCCTTCAAGGCAAAGTACCGCTTCCTACTTTTCAAGATCCACCAGTTCAATTGTTCAACTTATTAGCTGGACATCACCCACAAAGCAATCATTTTCGTATGTATGTTAGGACATATAATATGATGTTTGCTTTTACATCTATGGGTGGAAAAATAAATAGAAATGTTAATGATGGACGTGCACCTTATGTGTATAAGCTGAGTGGTCAAAATATGCATTTGATTGGTAGCATACTCCCTACAGATGGAGCTACTCCAAAATTTGCTCAGTTGTACATATATGATACATCCAATGAAGTTGCCAACAGAATTTCTGCAACAAGGTACAAATAGTGAGATTTGATCAACTTATATTACTTGCTTATTGTTTGTCCTTATTACACACATGTTAAATCATTTGTTCCTTTTTCCTAATTATCACTATTTGCTTTTCAGTGGAGATAGTAGAAAATCATCGTCAGTAGATATTTCTCTTGTACAGATGCTATAGAATATGCTAGATGAGCACAATAAGTTAGTGAAAGTATTCCGTCGGGCTCGTGATTATATTCATGCTCATGAGGGACAAACTATCAAAATTAGACTTATGCATAGGCGTGGGAGAAATGTCCGCCAATATGATATGCCAACCTCTGAAAATGAGATAGCTGCTTTAATTGTAGAAGATATTAGATCCACTGAATACGGTCGAGATATCATCGTTCAATACAAGACAGGATTATTACATAAGATACATGAAAATCATCCTGACTTTCTGCCTCTACAGTATCCATTGTTATTTCCATATGGTGAAGGGGGGTATGATGAAAAAATACCTCATGTGGTAAGAGGAGAGGCACCAGTAGCCAAGATTACCTATGTTTCTATGCGTGAGTATTTTGCTTATATGATACAGGACAGGAATACTGAATATTCTTCAATATTGCATGGTGGGAAACTTTTCCAACAATTTGTTGTTGATGCATACACAATGATAGAATCATACAGGCTAACCTTCATAAGGAATAATCAACAACAACTACGAGCAGAAATGTATAAAGGGTTAATAGATGCTTTGTTGTTGGGTGAGACTGATGCAGCTGCAAGGGGAAAAAGGATCATCCTTCCTTCATCATTTACTGGAGGAGCACGTTACATCATGAATAATTATCAAGATGCAATAGCAATTTGCAATTGGGCTGGTTATCCTCAATTGTTTATCACATTTACCTGCAACCCAAAATGGCCAGAAATAACAAGAGCTTTAGAAGAAGAAGATTTACGACTTGAAGACCGTCCAGATTTTCTAACAAGAGTTTTCAAGATGAAATTGGAGCATCTCATGCAAGATTTGAAGAAGGGTGATATTTTTGGTCCCATTAAAGCAGGTCAATTTGCATATTATTAAATTAACCATATCTTATAATCTTCTTTACATTATTGTTTTTCACAAATGAGTAATGGTCAGGTGGTTCAAAATTATATTACAGTTGTTCATCTTTCTCATATGTTGCTAAATTTTTTACAGCATTGTATACAATTGAATTTCAAAAGAGAGGCCTTCCCCATGCTCACATCATTTTGTTTCTAGCAAACCAATCCCATCTTGATTCTCCTCAAGAAATTGATCGAGTCATTAGTGCTGAAATACCGAATAAAAATGAACAGCCAGAATTGTTTGAAGCTGTTAGTAACTACATGATGCATGGACCATGTGGTTTAGCTAACCCAAAATCTCCATGCATGGTTAATGGCAAGTGTTCCAAATACTATGAAACAACCCCTTCGTGATTCATGGTAACTAAACATTTTCAAAACGATAATTACTTCGAAAGGTTAACTGTGTTAGGAAAGACAAAATAAATCAAATAGAAATTTACCATAGTCATTAACAATATACATTCATAACAATGCAGTAGCCACTAATCTAAAGTAGTAAAGATAATTAATGTAATAAGAAGTAATTAATACTTGATTTGTCATGTGTATAACAAATCCCATCATGAATCTCTAAAATCTCAAAAATAACTAAGACCAATCATGAATGGACTGTAGCATTTTCGGTCCACCAAAATAACTGCTACCACTGGCCATAACAATCGTAATCAAAATAACAATCACCTATATCCAAAAAGGGCTCCGCCCGATAACTCAAGTGTAGAATGCAGCGAAACATTAAACGCATGTTAAGTATAACAAAAAGGCCCTAAAGTTTGGCAATATACATCAGTCAAATCATGTATATCAAAATAGAGGTTATACAGAGTGGAAAGGAAAACTCAAGCCTCGGACACCTTCCCCTTGGGACCAACACCTAAACCCTCGCCTGAAAAATGTTAAATAACCACGGGGTGAGTCAAATTGACCCAGTAACCACAATTCTAATTCAACAAGTATCCAGGGAGTGATTACAAGATAGTTAAGCGGGCAAAGTACAATTTCAAATAACATATAAGTTAAACATCTTTACAGAAAACAATATATAATAATTCAAAGAGTAACTTGCATGCATAGAACTTCATCAACCATCCTTATAACCTCCTTGTAACCTCTGACAGAACCCATGGGCTATACACACATAATAGGATTCGTCTCTTTTACAAGACTGCACCAAGCTCTCCAATAATGAGGTGTAACTCGGCCAAAAGTTACAGAACTCATATTGGACCATGGGTTCTCTTTCCTTGGAATATGGAAAGGTGTCATGTCCCTTGGGCTAACCCTTGACCCGGCCAAAGGAAGGGTGATACCGAGGGCCCTAAGAATGTTAATGCCAACCACTGGGCACCAAGTGGCGGCTATACCACGTGGTATAATTAATCAGACCTCCCACAACTACATTTCAGCACAACCAACATAGCCCAATCCAACCATCCAATTCCACACAATTTCATATCCATAAAGTATTCTCAGATTCAATAATCAAATTTGTTCAACATCAACAAGATATTCATAAGATGAAATAATTCATGCCCACTTAACTAATAAATTTATCAAAACATAAATCTTGATTTAGATATATAAATTACTTTTCATACAAAAACCACCATAACACATCTTGATAACATTTGTAATATCAACACATGCTTATAATCACATCAACAAGCATACAAGGTAAATTAGAAAGTGGTTACCTCAAGTTCTTGACACAAGAACTAAGAGTAGGGAGATTCAAGACCCAAGAGCCCAAACCAAGCTTACTCTACAATAATAAATTGATAAACATATATTAATATAAAAAGACTAATTAATATAGCATTAGAATAGTTTATTAACTAAATCCCCATAATTGGCTTACCCTAAAAAAATTATCTTTAGGAAAAATAATAATTCATCTATTTTTTTTTCCGAGTGACAATTTCTAGTACTTCCCAACTCTATTTCTCTCATTCATATTATTAATAAGAATAATCCATTCGAATCATCTAAAAACCTCCAAAAAGTGCTTACTTTAACTCTTAGGAAAATAACCATATGTCAACTATGCCTTCAATCATTATTAAAATCCTATTCCCTTCTTCCATTAATCATTTTCCATTCATTAGAATCAATAACTTATAATATTTTCCTCAATTTCCTCCAAACACCCAACTTCCACTAATTAAAGTCTCTTCAAGAATCATCAACATTACTATTTCAACAACAATCCTCAAAGTTTAAATATTGGATCCTCAATATAACCTCAAATGAACTCAACTAAGAGATAAATTTCGAAATTAATATCATCATTAACACAAATCACAATTTCCCAACCAATCCCTAACTCACATTGCCTCAAATCAACCATCAACTAAAAATCTAAGTCATAAGGCTTCTATTCTAACCCCATAAGCTCCATTAATATCATCAAAATAAGTTAGAAGCCTCAAATCATTAAAAATCTATCAAGCCCTAACACATCTTATTTTCTGCCATAAACTTACATAAATAAAAAGAAAAAGCTAAATAAAAATAGTAGGATGAAAATAGCTTACCTAAATATCTTATATGTACCCAAGTAGAGTCCTTCCTTTCTCACACACTCAAACTACCTCTTACTGTTTCAGCGAACCAGAAGAACAGCGAAGACGGAGAGGAACGAAAGGCACTGGACGGAGGAAGAAGAAGGGAAAAATGATTCAATTATGGGGTCATGTGACCCCTTATTCAAACCTTTAGTGTATTGTGTTTTTTTTTTTAAAGGTGGGTCACGGCCCACCGGGGATTAACTCCCCTCCCCCAAAACCAACAGTGGGTGGCCGCGTGCCACCCACTGTTATATATATATATATATTTAAAATATATATTAATTATTATTTAACTGTTATTTATTAATTAGTAGTCTACCCGTAATTAAGATTAGCTTCAATGATAATTAATTAATTAATCTCATTTTAATAAACTAAAATCTAAATATATATTTTTTTTTTGGATGTTACATACTATCCAAAGCCTTTTAACTCCAGCACGATCATTCATGAAGATGGGTATCCCCATTATAAAAAACTGAACAATGGTCAATATATTTTGAAAAATGGAGTTCCATTAGACAATAGGAGTGTGATTCCTTACAACCCTACATTGCTGTTAAAATATCAGGCTCATTTAAATGTTGAGAGATGTAAACATGGGGAATCAATTAAGTATTTGTTCAAATATGTGAGTAAGGGTCATGATCGAGCTACCATAGCCTTTTACGATGAGTCTTCATCAGGTGAAAGGGAAGTTGTTCATGATGAAATTAAAATGTACTATGATGTTCGGTATTTGTCTCCATGTGAAGCTGTTTGGAGGATTTTTGGCTTTGATATAAACTATAGAACTCCATCAGTTGAAAGACTTTCCTTCCACCTACCAAATCAGCAAACAATTATTTATGCAGATGAAGCTAACCTTGATGATGTGGTTAACCATAATGAAGGCAAACCAACAGTGTTCCAAGCTTGGATGAAGGCAAATGAAAAATATGATGAAGCACGTGCTTTAACATACTCTGAATTCCCAACCAAATTTGTGTTCAAAAAACCTGGTCATTATTGGGACTTTAGAAAAACAGGATTCTCTATTGGAAGAATATGCTATGTTCCCCCTGGCACTGGAGAAGCCTTTTATCTTCATATGTTGTTAGCAATTGTTAAAGGGCCAAGATCTTTTGAGGAATTGAGAACTGTTGATGATGTCCTCCATCCTACATTTAGGGATGCTTGCTATGCCCTAGGGTTACTAGAGGATGACAAAGAGTACGTTGATGCTATTCAGGAGGCAAATCAGTAGGCCACTCCAAATTACCTTCGTCGCCTATTTTGCACATTGTTACTATGTAACTGTATATCACGCCCTGAAATTGTGTGGCAGCAATCATGGAAATTAATGGCAGAGGACATACTTTATAGCCAACAACAGTTGACAGGCCATCCTGGTATGCGTCCCCCCATATTTACACTCTTTTTTAAAAAAATTATTCTCTCACATCTCATTGTTATTTTATATTGTTTTGTTAATTAATTGTTATTTCAACAACCATTACAATTTAGATGTCATTCTATGATCAAACAGGACTTTCTCTTAGTGATGCTGAATTGCAAGACCATGCTTTACATAAAATTGAAGATTTGCTACAACTTAATGGGAGAAGTCTTCAAGATTATCCAACAATGCCTTATCCAGCTCAATCATTAAATGTATCAGCGGTCAATAAATTGGTGCTGGCTGAGTTAGATTTTGATCGTAATGTCCTTAAGGAGCAATTACATGTCTTTCTTCGAAACTTAACAGAAGAGCAGAGTACAATCTACAATACAATAATTGACACTGTTCATAATGTGCGAGGAGGGCTGTATTTTGTTTATGGATATGGAGGAACTGGGAAAACATATTTATGGCAAACATTATGTGCATCATTAAGATCTGAAGGGAGGATTGTTCTTACTGTTGCATCGAGTGGCATTGCATCACTTCTATTACCTAACGGTAAAACAGCTCACTCACTATTTGCAATCCCTCTTGCCATCACCGAAGATTCAGTTTGCAACATTAAACAGGGAACACCACTAGCAGAGCTTTTAATTCAGGCCTCCTTAATAATATGGGATGAAGCACCAATGGCAAACAGGCATTGTTTTGAAGCATTGGATAGAACATTACGAGACATCATTAGAAGAAATGATCCTAATGCTATAGGAAAACCATTTGGCGGAAAAACTGTGGTGCTTGGAGGAGACTTTAGGCAAATACTTCCTGTCATACCACGAGGTGGGCGCGAAGACATTGTCTTTGCTACTATTAATGCTTCATACTTGTGGAATGAATCCATTGTCTTCACACTGACTAAAAACATGAGACTAACCAAAGGTCATTACACAGATGATGTAGATGCAGTAACAAAGTTTTCAGAATGGATTATTTCTGTTGGAGATGGCAATGTTGACATTGAACCTGACACAGAAGATGTTATTACCATACCTAGAGATTTGTTATTGTTTCCATTAGGGAATCCTATGGATTGCATTATTGACAGTACATATCCAAGTTTGGTTGACCGCCTAGGCGATGGGTCTTACTTCAGGGATCGTGCTATCCTAACAGCTACATTATCTGTTGTTTATGAATTGAATAGTTATATGCTTGCAAAGCTACCAGGTGAGGAAGTCAATTATCTTAGTGCTGACAGTGCTTGCAAATCAGATGGTGCCAACAGTTCCATAGCAGAAATACACTCGGTTGAATTCTTAAATACAATCACAATGTCTGGATTGCCAAATCACAAGCTAAGCCTTAAAGTTGGTGCTCCTATAATGTTGATGCGAAATATTAATAAATCTATAGGTCTTTGTAATGGGACTAGGTTAATTGTCACACGTTTGGAGAAACATGTAATAGGAGCTGAGATTATCACAGGAAGCAATACTGGCATGCATGTCTTGATTCCACGCTTAACCATCACACCATCTGAGACGTCTTTGCCTTTCACTCTATGTAGAAGACAGTTTCCTGTAATGCTATCTTTTGTAATGACTATAAACAAGAGTCAAGGTCAAAGTCTTCTCAATGTAGGATTATTTCTGCCTCATCCTGTCTTTACACACGGTCAGTTATACGTTGCTATCTGACGAGTGCGGCGACGGGAAGGTTTAAAAATATTGCTCCTTGATGACAAAGGCACTCCCAACAATAAAACTTCAAATGTTGTTTATAAGGAAGTCTTCTCTAACCTTTTGAATTGAGAGACACCTAGGTCAGTATTGATCCATGCTTGTGCATATACAAACATATATGTAGTAGGTAACCATTTCATATATGCAATATTTTGTGAATGTGTAGTGATTATGACTTTCTCCCTTTGAGCTGGCAGGTAAATTGAAACTTTAAAAGTGATAATATCTTCAGATTCATATCCATGCTGTTCTTTTGCTATTACTTTGTTTTTTGTATTAATATGATGACATTAACAATGAAAATTTAGATATCATTTGAATGGGGTATTTTCACTTCATATTTTTATTTAATATGCTGCCTAAATATTTGTTCAAATTTCATGGGAACACACATTTCATTCTATATCATATGTTTGTACTTCCAGTATAAGTAATAATTTCATATAAAGTATGTTGTTGGCCTATACAATTGTCTGATACGACTAGGGCTAATTATTATATTATTTATAATGGAGTGTTGGGTGACTAATCTCTACATTTACAATGGTTTGTTTCTTTTTTTTTTATCATTTAAAGGAAATAAGTGCGAGGTGATAGGATGGAGAACACCAAGTATTGTGTATCTTTCCATTTCCTGTGTTGATGAAAAGGAATCAAACGTTCTTTCATACCTTAGATTTTCTTTGTCTATACATCTTTCCTTGTAATTATTAAATAAGACAAAATCATATCAGACTCAAACATTATATTTTTTCTTTGTAATTATCAACTGTCATATTATCATATGACACTATTGCATCCAATATCTTTCAAATGGCTAACCATTTTATTTTCATTTGATTTTTTATATGGTAATAGACCATATTACACCCGTGCATCGCACGGGTCTTGTACTAGTTCCTATAAAAATTGCTTTCGTTGTACTTGTCTCATCCTATTTATCCATATTTAATATTTATTATATCCTATTAGAACAAAATCAACATAATAGTAAATAAATGATAAAATTGTATATTCTTATAAAAATTTTCTCTCTATATCTTATAAATAGAGTACCAGAGAAACATATGACTAATTAGTATTTTGAGAAAACCATCTTGCAGGTACTTATAGTTTCTCTCAATTTTTAATTTGTTACCGATATTTTTTTTTCTTTTTTTGAAAATCCTTCAACTTCTTTCCGTCAATACCATTACCCCCTATGTTTTTGAATATCCTCTCAAGGGCCAACAGAATATAAACGGCGTTAAAAAAGGGCAAAAAATTGAAGACCCAAGAACACAAGTCATGACTGGATTGTCTCCTTTGTTTGTTGAGCATCGCAAGCACAGCACCAGTTATGAAGACGCAATGCATTCTCTATTCCATTGAGCAAGGAAATGATCAATATACAGTGACAAGTATATATTTCTATTCCATTCTCGAATTTATCATCTGGTATGAACAAGTTTCATATGTCACTGTTTTTGTGTGTTTTCATGAACAAGTGTTTCTTCTGCTTGACAATCAAAAAAATTCTCTACAAAATATTGCTGAACATTAGCCTCTGCTCTGAAGCGGCCAATTCAGCAGGACCGCAACTTGCAGCAGATGGAAACACAACAATTTCCAGATCACTTGATCAAATTCTGTAAAATTTTAGCCTGTTTGATCTAACTACTGATTTGTCTAACTTGGAAGATAGTGTGTTATATGACCTTATGCAATTCATTTTTATGTATTTAATTTAGTTCATCTAATAGAGCTCGTCTAGGAATGAAGGTTTTTAAATGCACAACTTGCACTCTTCTATTATATCACTATCACAACACACCAGCAGTACTTTAGATGTTTGTGACAGAGTTGGGGCTGCTGGAAACAAGTAATAACTTTGTAAAGATGCAGTGATCTATTTCAAATGGAGGCACCAAGTTTTTTACGTCATTATGGGAGAATTGGTGTTATCAATGATTTTTTTTGGTTCTTGTTTATTTTGCCATAAGTTATCAATAATTTCAGTGCTATCAACAGAGAAGAAACAAGGGAAAATTACGTACAGGTCCCACAGAAGGCAATTTATTACTTTGAGATCCCACGAAATGCCAAAATCACTGACAAGTCCCAAGGGACCTCAGAGTAATATTTTCGAGTTGTAAAATGACATTACTGCCCCTCATATTCCAGATTCATATTTGCTCTGTCATTGCGATTTACAACCTCAGCAGCGACTATTAACAACCCAATGAGAGGGCGTTAACAACCCTAGCAGTATCCGTTAAAAACTTAGTTTATAGAATCATATAACCTTCACATAAGAGTAAATTATAACCAAATAGTATAATACAACAACTTTAACACTAAAATGGGAAGCTTTTTGATATCATTAAGAATTTTAACTAGATCCAATAGGATTATAGTAATATTTTAATGCGAAGATCTATTTACAACATCAACAGCGACTATTAACAACCGAATGAGAGGGCATTAACAACCTAAGCAGTATCCGTTAACAACTTACGTTATAGAATTATATAACCTTCGCATAAGAGTAAATTATAACCAAATAGTATAATACAACAACTTTAACACTAAAATGGGAAGTTTTTTGATATCATTAAGAATTTTAACTAGAGCCAATAGGATTATAGTAATATTTTAATGCGAAGATCTATTTACAACCTCAACAGTAAGTATTAATAACTTAAGGAGAACTGTTAACAACCTCAGCAGTGTCTGTTAACAACTAACTTTATCGGATAATATAACTTCTAACTATAACTAACTAAATTATAACTAAATAGTCTTAAAGTTAATCTTATATAGTTGTTAGAGGTTATATTATCCTATAAAGTCAGTTGTTAACAGATACTGCCTAGATTGTCAACAGCTCTCTTTGGGTTATTAATACTCACCATTGAGGTTGTAAATGGATCTTCGCATTAAAATGTTGCTATAATCCTATTGGGTTTAGTTAAAATTCTTAATGATATCAAAAAGCTTCCCATTTTAGTGTTAAAGTTGTTGTATTATACTATTTGGTTATAATTTACTCTTATGCGGAGGTTATATAATTCTATAAAGTAAGTTGTTAACGGATACTGCTTAGGTTGTTAATGCCCTCTCATTCGGTTGTTAATAGTCGCTGTTGAGGTTGTAAATGGATCTTCGCATTAAAATATTACTATAATCCTATTGGATCTAGTTAAAATTCTTAATGATATCAAAAAGCTTCCCATTTTAGTGTTAAAGTTGTTGTATTATACTATTTGGTTATAATTTACTCTTATGTGGAGGTTATATGATTCTATAAACTAAGTTGTTAACGGATACTGCTAGGATTGTTAACGCCCTCTCATTGGGTTGTTAATAGTCGCTGCTGAGGTTGTAAATCACAATGACAGAGCAAATGTGAATCTGGAATATGAGGGGCAGTAATGTCATTTTACAAATCGAAAATATTACTCTGAGGTCCCTTGGGACTTATCAGTGATTTTGACATTTCGTGGGACCTCAGAGTAATAAATTACCTTCTGTGGGACCTGTACGTAATTTTCCCAAGAAACAATCAGAATACAAGACTCGCACACATAAAAGAGACGATCCAATTGTAGCTTGCGTCTTTGCGTCTTCAGTTATTTCCCCTCCTTTCCTTTTTCTGTTCCCCCATTTCAACGCTGTTTACATTCTATTGGCCCTTGAGGACATATCTAAAAACACGGGGTAACAGTATTGACGGAAAGAAGTTAAAGGATTTTAAAAAAAAGAAAAACAAAATATAGGTACCAAATTAAAAATTAAGAGAAATTATGAGAACCTGCAAGATGGTTTTCCCTAGTATTTTTGCGCTCTACTTTTGGGTCCAACTAGGGCTGTGCAAAAACCCGGTGGTCCGGTATGGTCCGGTCCAACCCGAGCAAACCCGATCCAATCCGGTCTAGAAAAAATTAACCCGAAACAAGACTAGACCAGACTGGACCGGACTAGTCTTATCGGGCTGGACTGGACTAAGGACTGGCCTCTCAGACTAGTTAGTCCAGTCCAATCTAGCCCGGTTTTTTTAATTATTATTTATATAATTTTAATTTGGTTTAATTTTTCTATGTAAGTTTTTTGTCTATTCAAATAATCAAGATTTATTTATTAACTTCCTAAGTAATGAGCATGCGTATATATTTTCTACAATATAAGATCTACATTAATGAGGATTAATTAATAAAACATGACATTATTGAGAAATTGAAAGAGAATGATTAAATTTGATGAACTTTGGATTAAAATATGTACAAAATTTTATATAGTAAGTTACAATCTTGTCTCCTATTGAAGGAAAAAATTTGAAAAAAAATTAAATTTAGGTCCTAAACTGCTTGGATTGGTCCAGGCAGTCCAGAGGACCAAGTCCAGTCCAACCCAACCTAGGGTTGATACTGAACTGGACTGGATCAGACCTCAGACTGTCTTTTTCAGCCCGAGGTTTTTATTGGACCAGACTTCGGGCTGATAACAAACCCGATCCAGTCTGGTCTATGTACACCCCTAGGTCCAACCCCTCACTTAAAATTTTTGTTTAAAAAAAAAAAGCCTGGAGACGGCGATAAACTCATGCAAAGAGGAAAGGCGCTCCCGCCCTGAATTTTCCCGCCATCAAAATCTCAGAAGCCTCCTTCGATGGTGAAAGCCTAATAGTGTTTTGTTGGAGCATTTCTTCGCAACTCCCCCCATTACTTTGCTCACCTTCGCCGTCTCCAGTTTGCTCTTCAGTGCTGTTTTGCTTACCTTCAGGTTTTATCGTCTCCCTTTTTCTAATGCTGTTCTTTTCCCCCCCTCTTACCCTCTTCTCTTCTATTTCCTGACTTGTGTCTCCCTTTTTCCCCTCAAAGCTTCGAATTTTACTGTGTATTCATTGTATTTGGTTATTTTGAAGTCTACCTCTCGTCTCATATTGTTCTTCTTCCTCTCGATTTTGTTGTGTACCGTGGAATTTTCGCTATTGTAATTACAGTTGGAAATCGTTCCTCCTTTCTTGTTTATGACCTTGACAAATATATTAAGGAAGTTGGGATCAAATTTTTTGGGGATCAGCAGTTAATTAAGGGTTGAAAATGTTATGTCAAATGGTTTTCTTGGAGGTGATTGAGGAATGTCGTTCTGGTTTTTTTTTTTTTTTGGCTACTGTCGTTCTGGTTTTTCAATGGATTACTGCGTCTTCCCCCCCCCCCCCCGGGGGCCTGCGTTTTACTTCTACACGAGATGTACTTTTTCTCCCTTTGGACCTACTGATTTTTTATGACTTACCTGAATATTAGCTTCGAAATTATGGGAGGCTCATTGAGCCCATGGGTTCTCTGATTATAGGCTTATGAATTGAAAATTTATAGATGGTGGGATTTCTGATAATGGCTTGAAAATTATAAATAATAGGATTTCTGATTTGAAAATTTAGGCTCGTGACTAAGACTTAATTAGTCTTAAATTTCTCATTATTTGCAAAAGACCATGGATAGAAGGTAATAACCAAAATTCTAACGTCATGGTAGCAGTCTCGTCATTTTACTCAGCGAAGTTCATCATTTATAGCATTTAAAGAGCCATGTAAGACAAAAGTAAGTTAAATGACATACAATCTTATTATACCGAAGATTTTATCAGATTCTCGTGGCGATAGTTATAACAAAGATTTGGTCTTTGTTTTGACTTTCATCTTCTACTACAAGTTATTCGCTTATTTGCTTCATTTCGTCTAATTCAATTATATATCGTCAAACAATATGGGGAAAAATGAAGTTTAGAATCAATCTGCAATTTTTGTTATCCAAGAGATTCAGCATCTTCAAAATTAAGCGAAGGGTCTGTGGTTTAAGTTAAATATCTATCAAGTGAAAGAAATAAAAGCATCAAGAGTTTATATATAAGTTTATTTCCTCATTTTCCAGTTTCTCTTTTCTTTTTCTCCATTTCTATTTTACTTAAGAAGAATCGCCTTACTGACAAAAAACAATTTGACTGAAAAAAATACTCAGCTTTGCCCTTAATTTTTTCTATGATACAAAAGGTTTTGCAGAGGAAAAATATGATTATGAAGAGATAAGTGAAACTCAGATACGGGATATGGAATCTGAGATTTTTACATATGATTTGAGTTTGGGATGCTGGGGCACTAGTGTGGGATGTTGAGGCTGGATCATTACATTTTGTATATTGTTAATTTGTCTTTATTGACTTGTTGTCTAACTTAAAATGTTGTATGCAACTTTTTATTATTACGCCTGTTAGATTCCTGAGGTTTCCAGAAAGCTCAAGCTCTACACTCATTTCGAAGAGTTTGTACTAGGGAATTTGAAGTAAATGAGTCATCAGTCATGTCTCTAAAACCCTGATCTCATCTCGAGTTTTCTTATATCCTTGGAGAAACATGACGGAGTTAAGCTGGAAGCATCATGCCATAATTCAAGCTCTATTGTCACGCGGGCCACTGAAGGAAAAGGACTTTTACTCTCTGTTCAATGGCCTCACAGGGAAAAACCCAGGTTCCGAAAATATGATTTCTTCCTCTGTAACTCATAGAAGATTGATTATCTGAGGCCACATATTTATTTTTCTGGACTTGGTTGTTATGTTGTCGATTCTCAAAAGGGTAGTCTTGTTCCAAACTTCTTCACAAGAGCTGCTTCCTTAAATTACTTGGTTTTTTGGTTTAGATAAGAGCTTATTGTGGAAACTCAAGTATTTGTTAACCTTGAATATGGCATCTAGCCTAAATGCCTTTGATAAATTATGTCAATTTCTCCTTTAGGGCTTGATTTTTTTTTTTTTTGGGGGGGGGGGGGGGTTGGGGGGAAGTAAAATCAAATAGAAATATTGATATTTTCCTCACTCTCCGCCTTCCACTGATTGGACGTTACATTGCCATTAATAGGATGAGATGAAATTGAAGGGTAACATGATGCTCTTGATGCTTATTTGGAAAGGTTTTTTTTTTTTTTGGGGGGGGGGGGGGGGGAGACCATCCAATCTGGAATGATTTGAAAATTTGGGTTCGGGTTGGATTAGGATGGTTTAAAAATCATCCTGATCAAGTTATCCACCACTCGAAACCATCCTTCCAATCAAGCCTTTACAAATGTTTTCTGTCTCTCTTTTTTCAAAAAATTCAAGGAATCTTTGCATGATATGTTCTGAACATCAAATCTAGTATAGCAATGTAAGCATTAATGGCTCAACTGCTGAAGCAATGAAACTGGAAATGAGCTGAGAACTGTATAATCGGGAAGAGTTTTAATTTTATGATTGAGAAAAGGTTCGTGTCATGTATTCCTTATGCAGTTTTTAGTCAAGCTATTGATTGCGGTTGTCATAATTGATAATACAGGCACTGATCAACATAAACTCCAAGAGTATCTTCTGAAGATAAACAAAGCACTTTCTTTTGTTCATTTAGAGCTGCGCCGCTGCATGAATCAATATGATGCTCAAGTTTATTACGGAGTGGTCAATACTGTTTCAGATGAACAATCCAAGTTGGGGACAAAGTACACAGTTCCACAAATTGCTTTTTATAAGGCCATTGTAAGTATTCCTACATTTGATTCTGTTTCTCTTTGTGTCTACTGCATGTGGAAAAAGTATTCATCTCTACTAACTGCTTTGTTAGGGCAATTGCTTCAGATTAACAATCTAAGCAGGGAATAATTTATGGCATTCTGAAATTTGTTGAAGATTACGAATGTTTTGGTCAATTACTGCGGGTATATATTTTGAAATGGGTATGGTGATGTTTAATGGAATTTTTAGTATGATTTTTATGGGGTAATAGACTTGCATCAAGTTCTAAGCTGCTTACTGTATTCTAGGGAAAACTTTGATGGTAGTGGTGAAGTGTAGCATAAGTAGCAACATAGCATCCTCATGCACACTTTCCAAGGAGACTTGGGGGGAAAATGTTCTTAGGCATCCAACACTATTTATCTTGTTGCCACATTCTCATTTCTTCTTCTTCGGAGTCTTATTATTCAGGAACTGATGGAGATACACCCAAAGGGAAGAGTAATAATCATAAATTAGAAGGGACTTCTAGAATAGGCAGATTTAGGGACGAAATGCAATCTTCAACCCATTGATCCTTATGCAAACCAACTACAATATCTGCATGGAATATGTGCTCACATGCATCTTTGTGCTTCAATAGTAAAAGGTCCTCCACCTCTTATTTATTTTGCTTTTAAAAAAAAAAAGCATGGTGCCGGTTGTCTATTTTTTTTGATAATTCAGGAAAATAATTCATGATTAAAATTGATTCACAGCAATTTATCTCATGTTGCTTTTATGCTTTCCCTTTCCCTCTATTTGTGCTAATGTACAGCGTGTGCATGTCCATTTGACTATAGAATGGGTAATTATGCATGCAAAAGTTTTGCCCCTATAGCACCATAAGTTTTTGCGGATTAATAATTTGACCTCTCATATTATGGCATTTGACACAATATTTATTGCTTCATTTTAATGTCAAATGACAGATTGAAGCAATAGTACAAGATGGTACAGCTCAAGGTGTTGTCTCCAACATTGATGCTCTGAATTTTAAACTGGATAATCAGGTTATACATTTTCACTTGCCTGAATTTCTCTGCCCATAGATAATTGACTCTTCTTTTAATTTATTGGTAGTTGCTGCCCAAGTATGATTGACATAAAGTTTCTAAATAGAGGACAAGCAACTGATAAAACTTGAGAAACCCGATTTCTTGGTTTTCACATCTATGTTTACTGACTTGCACTTTACTAGTGAAGGAACTATCCTCTTTTAGGTAGATGAACCTTTCAAATATATCAACATAGAATATTTGTATTTTGCGCTTTTAAGTAGATTGCTGTTATTTTTCTGTTGGAAAATAAGAACGTGGTTGATTATGGATGCACTCAACGGCAATCCACAATTTTATGGTTTGAGTATGTTCAGGTTACGGTTGCATCACAATCTCAAGGAGGCCAGCATGAAGTCCCACCTGCGTTGAAATATTTCTCAATTTCTCAGAAGGCAAAAACTCTTGATGAACTTGTGCAGGACCAGTGGCTCAATTTGACAGCAGATGGTAATATCACACTGGGTGTGAAGTCATTTCTTGATCTCCGGAGTTGGTTTCGAAATAATGATGTTCCATCATGTCATGTTTGCAATGAAGCCGGAGTGAAGGTTGTTCCTGTTGCATTGCTTCTAAGTCTTTTTCTGTTAATGTTTCGATTATTCTGAATCATCAGTGTATTTGATATTTCCCTTTTCCCTTATTCTGAATCATCAGTTGACTAACCAGCTGTCTTGCATGCACTGAGAACAAGAAGTGAACATCACTAGATATTACTGTGTCTGAAGTAGTGGGGGCTGAAAACAATTATATCTGATTGCTAGTATTTGAGTCTTGAATTCCGTTCATTTTTGTTTTACAGGCAGAATTATGTCAAAATGAAGCTTGCACAGTTCGAATTCATCACTACTGTCTGAAGCAACTTTTCAATCGGAGACAGGTATAACTCTTGTTGCATATTTGTCTTCCCACATCTAGAACATGGAGTCTTTGTCAATGGCATTGGGGCATGAAAGCTCTCCTATAACTAGGAGATTGCGGATTCTATTTTACTTATAACCTCAAGTTGTTAGTGTTTGTCCTCAAATTTAAGAAGAAAAAAAATTACATCGAGTATTTATCTGATTATGACTAGTAACTGGTTGCCAGGCAAAGAAAGTTTGCCCAAGCTGTGGCAACCACTGGCAATATACACTACCCAAGGAAGAAGCTATCCAGATTGAAGATGACACCGTACCTGGAGCCAGCCAACCGTCGACTCGTTCTAGAGGTAAAAAACGTGGAAACGATAGAACTCTTGAGGAAGACGCTGTTGGATGCAGTAATGGGGATGAGCAAAATGAAGGAACAGGAAGCCAGCATGGTGCAGGAGTTGCACAAAAGAGGCGTAAAACCGCTAGAACCAACGATGCAGATGTAAATGGATCTGGTGTGTCTCAATCTTCATCATCTACTTCTGACTTCAGAAGAGTAACTCGAAGGTCTGCTCGTCTAATGTAAATACTGGCACACTTTTGAGCTGTATATTTTTGCTGCTGACGACTGCATATTCTGATTTTTCAACTTTGCTGTGTCACGGAGATGTTCCCTTGATTAATTTGCCGTGATTGTCTGAAAATCGAGAATATGCTGATTACATGATAGATTGGCCAGACCGGTCTGAAAATTCCTACTTTCTAGCTATCAGATCCAAAATCTTTGTTGCTTTTACTTTGATATTAACTGAATATTTTGCTTGACTCATTTTGAGGTGCTAGAAACCAGCATGTTCATCGGTCTGATGAAAATCAATGCTTCTTTTTTTTTTTGTTGGGAACCGGGTTATACTGGGCAAAGCATTCTGTACCATATTTTGCCACAGATGACTTGTAACATGATATAGCGAATCTGTATTTTGTGATATATTCCTCTGGTCCTGAATATAAGATCCCTTTTACAGTGTAATTTACACTATAAAAAGGGTTTTATATTTAGGACTGAAAGAATAATTAGCTAGGACTACTTTGAATTTACACACACAACTCAGGACAGCAGGCTTTGGTTACGGGGAGGGGTGTAATTTGCAGTGGAATAGAAATTTCACAAGCACCTGTCTAATTCTAAATGTAAGAGTGAGATAATTTATAAAGATTAAGAGAGCTAATTTAGTTGCATATAAAAAATGTGTTGGTATCTCAAATACCCCTTTAATCATTATTGGTGGAAACTCCCTTTGAATATAATCAATGAAAATAATTTTTAAAAAATTACAAATTTATCAAACGAAATATATTAAGATCTTACCTTTAGAATTAGTAAATTTGTCAGTTAACTTGTACATTGACTAGACTAGAGGGGGTAAAACTCCTACCTTTCATGCATTGCACAATTTAATGAGGCCTCTTCAATTTTCTTGGTGAAACATTGAAGCTTCTGTGGTCCAGAATCCAGATTCATTTAATGTAACTATAATTACTTCTTTTTTTCCTTTTCTGACCAGAAAGCAAATGTGTAATTTATATCATAGTACAGCTGATCCGATCTAGTATTCAATGCTTGAATTATGTGGTGTTAGTTTCATAATCTGTCATTCTTCTTTTACTGGTAAGTCATCAAGTCGTCCCAGCATGAGTTATTGTATTTATGTTTTTAAATAAAAATAAAATTGCTATTGTTTGACATATGTAGGATAACAATTTTCATAAAAATTAGAAAATTAAAGATATTAACTAAACTAAATGAGAACTATATAAACTTAGTCATATTCTTATTTTAAATCATGATATATTTTGCTGAGGCAATACTACGTTGAGTTTGATCCTCATCTCCAAGTTCAAAACGTGTCTTATGTTTAAAAAGTACTTATCTAAAAGTTTCAAGGATCAAAAAACCAGACCAAACACTAAACTGGTTAAGGTAGTGGTTCAAGAGTCAATTGGTCAGACCGAGGTCAACTCAGGATCTAACCGGTCATATTAAAATAATGTAATTTAATTAAGTATAACAACATTAATAATCACTTATAATAAAACATAAAGAAATATGACAATAGTTTAATTGTAATAATAATAAAGTATAACAATATTGAGAATTTTGATCTTTATGGTTCATCATTAACTAAAATTAATCATCATTGATACCAAAATTATTATTAAAATTTAGTTAAATCTATAGGAGCTGAGATATTAAGAGCTGAATGAGAAAAAATATGATCAATAATAACTTAACCATCCAAACCGGCTTATTACCGGTTCACATCGGTGTGATTAGTTCACTGTCAGTTCAACTCTCTTCCTGATTAATATCCAAACCGGACCAGATCACTGATCGGTTCACTGGCCGATTCAGTCCGGTTTTTTGTTCTCTGAAAAGTTCATAAATGATTCACGAAGAAAATTCTCATGTGCCTTCATTTATTTTTTCAAAAAATAACGTACCCTACACCAAGAAAAAGAAGACAAATCACGTGAAAGTGAGCTGACTTGGAGAGTTGGAGGGAAAAAGAAGCATTGACAATTACATTTGCCACTACCAAGTACCTTGCATGCTAAGGATTTGACAAGGAGATAAGATGTCTATATTTTAATGTATATTTAAATTCATCCAATTATATATTATAATTATAGTTATAATATATAATATATATCATAAATTTTTAAAAATAAAGTATATTATTTACTCCTCCAATGAAAAAATTTGACTTAAAAACTTTTTTCCCCCCTTAAATCATGACGTAAATGTATTTTCTTGTACCCATTTTCTTATTGACAACATTTACATGAGCACATTCCTAGGTAAATGACCAAAAAAAATCTTAAAAAATAGAAATGAAAAATCAATTATTTGAAATTTTAAAACACTAAATTACTTTGTCTAGACTAATAATGGTAGTTCTAGCCAATATACTTGATTAGTAAGGATATTTTAGTAAAGACAACACCTATTTATTACAAATAACTAACTTAACTTATTTCTTTAATATCTTTAAATTAGTTAACTAGTTCTTATAATAGACTGGAGGCAGTATTCATTACATTTTATAAACCAACTTTGTCACAAAAACAAAATCCCAAGTGTCACTGCTGGAGCTCTAGCAGTGAGTGGCTGGCGAGAGGTGCTGATGTGGCTTTTCTTTGGTTTTTAAGTGAAGAGGCAATATTGTAAACCACAATATTTCAATATTCCACTTTGGTATTCAGGCCAAAAAAAAGTCCATTTTGATACAATAGACTGATTTGGAATTATTAAAATTGGAACCACTAATTTGAGATGTTGATTTTTTTCCAGGTTATTTCTCTGTTTTTTTCCTGAATTCTTCTTCCAAATATAAATATTGAAAATCAACCCTCATTCACTTATTTAAAATAGAAAAATCCCTATTGGTTATTCTAGCCTATTTTTCTTTTCACAAACAAAACAGGAAAAGCAGAATATTCTTTTTCTTTCTCATGTACTTCCTTTTGATTTGATTGTGTGGCAGCTTGTGTCACGTTGGTGGATTCCCTCACAAAATAGTCATGTCATTTGGGCAATCAATTATAAAAACTTTGTTCCAAGAATATAATATTAATATTAATATAATTAATAGACATAAAATTACAAACATATCATTATTCATAAATAAATGACTTCCCTCACACTTTAATATAATGCAAAATGTCTTTAGTAATGCATGTGCAGCTAAAATTACTAGCTAATTAAAATTATTTTTTTTTGTCATCTTTTAAGGTAGGAAATTAACTAACTTTAAAAAATAGTTAAGTTAATTATTTATAATAAAGTTTGTTAGTTTTTGTAAAATATCAATTTTAATAATTTACTTTGTAACTACTCATCATCTTAATATGTGTAATTAAAAGAAAAATTTAAAAAGAAATTATGATTTAAAAATAAAATAGTTTAGGTGTTTTACTAACTCTTACATTTATTATCGGAGAAAGAAAGACACATTCATTAGGTACATTTATATTCTCTCTAACTTTAATGTTGTAATTGAATTTAATTTTATGAAAATATTCTTTCAATTAAAGTGCCACATTAATTATTATTTCCCATTTTAATAGAGTCCACAGAAGACTCCAGAACAATATTTAATATTACAGGATCTTCAAATTTAACCCCTCCTTTTTACTAATTTATTATAAACGCCAGGTGCACACAGCATGGAAGATTCCTAAGTATTAATTAACTGATTATTAAATATTCAAACTTAATTACATTATTAATTAAAAGAAAGTTAGTGTAATCTTCTATCCTTGGATCCTATTCACATGCACGCCTGTCGAATATTCAGAAACCTCATATTTGGATTCATTATTTTATTTTACCAACCATGAGAGCTTTCAACTTTTCTGTGAAACTCAAGGTCCCCAAAAAAAAAAAAAAAAAAACTTTTCTTTGGTACGTTAAGGCCAGTTTGGCACATGATGTAAGATTTAATATTGAATCAATTAATAACTATGTTTGGGGTGAGGGAAAATATTTATTTTAATTATGAGTTTCAATTAACCTCATATTCATAATAAAATCCTTAATACCATATCAAGTAATGGTGATAGAATCAAGTAGAAAATAGTTTAGAGAAGTTTGATCATTCTCATCACTTACTAGTAAGCATCAAATATGTGGTTTATTTTATAATCTTTAATTATTTTTATCTTAGTACATATAAATCTAAAATAAAAATTTCTTTTCTATTAAAATAGTTGTAAAATCATATGATTCAAGTCATGTCAGACGACATTATTTTTAAGAGTTATTTACAATATATGATAAAAAATGTGGCAACTCTAAAAAATTAAACGGACGTTTCCTTAAAAAAAAGTAATTGAGCACATTTAATGATAATTAAAGATGGCTTAATGACAGAACCAAATTGTAATATTAGTTTCCATCTTTAGTTTTCTTTCTTTTTTTGAAAAAAGTCTATATACATACATACATATATATATATATACATTTCTTCACTTCCTATCCAAACCCTAATTAGCACCAAGTTCTGTCCCTTGTCTCTATTTTATATATATGCTGGCTACTTTACGATAAAGTAAATCAATGAGAAAAAGCGTATGATTCAGTATTCAGTTATAACTTTATATCTTTTTCTGTATTAGATGACCAAAGTTCACATGCGTCCATAGTCTTTAAAGGTAAGGCCAAAAAAAGAAATCACATATATGTGTTTTCCACGTCCATGATAAGGACACTTTAAAAAGCTTGTTGTTATTTCTCAATCTCTATCATCGTAGGACAATAACGTTTTATGTGCTAACGTAAGATTCCTGAACCTCTTATGTAATTGACTATTACATTCCCACCTAATTTCTACTCCTCTTAAAGTATTAGCAATAAATAAAATATTTTTCTTTTGGTTATCTGTTATTATTTCTTTCTTATCCTTAATACGAAAAATTTTCTAATTTGAATAAATTAATAAAATTTGTTAAGTTAGTTATGTGTAATAAATAATATTATTTTTTCTAGAATACTTTGATACGGTAATCATATTTGTTAGTTAGAACTATAATTTGACATATAAAATATTTGACACAATGATACATGCAACTATTATAAGAGCTACTTTGAAAGATAAACAAATATGG